TTATGGTGTGATTTGTTGATTTACATGTACCTCCCTTTGAGAGAGCCGCTTAAGGATGGGAATTGACTTTTTCTTTTCTGGATCCCCAAAGCACAGGGAAAGAGAGAGAGGCCATCTTTAACAACCAGGAATTAACTGGCCTAACACTCCAATCCTGGTATTGACAGGAGCTGGCCTGCCCCTCACCCCCCAGTGCTATCTGTTGAACATGAACACGGTCCCAGAACAGCAGCCTCAGATAAGGCCATGGTACGATCAGGATGGACCAAGACAAAATCAAACCCACAACAGAGTCAATAACAAGAACATTGTCCAAACCATAAGAAATTACCAACATCCTCCTTTTCTGCTGCATATGAGCAACTGCTTTTTATTGATACCAAGTACAATTTAAAATGTATATATAATTAGGGGCTCTTACAGATATTATAACAATCCTTAAATCATTTATATCAAGCAAACTTGCATATATGTTGCCATCATCATTTTCAAAACATTAGCTCTCTATTTGAGCCCTTTGATATCAGCTCCTCTCTTTTCCCTCCCTCCCCCTCCCACCCTCGTGAACCCTTAATAAATTATATATATATATTTTTATATATAATATATTATATTTTATAATATATATAATATTATATAATATAATATATATATAATTTTCATATCTTACACCATCAGCTGTGTTCCTTCACCCACATTTCTGTTATTCGTCCCCCTCGGGTGGGGGTGTTATACATTCATCATTGCTATCAGTTTCCCCTTCCCCTTTCCCCCCTCCCATACCCTCATGGTATCGCTACTCCTGTTACTGTTTCTGAGGGGGTTATCTGTCCTGGATTCGGTGTGTCAAAAGCTCTTATTTGTACCAACGTACATATTCTGATCTAGCTGCATTTGTGAGGTAGAAATAGGGTCATGATAGAGGGGGAAAGATGCATCAAAGAGCTGTAGGAATATTATGTGTTTCATTGGTGCTATACTGCACCGTGGGTGCATCATCCCTTCCATGTGACCCTTCCATGAGGGAACATCCAATTGTCTACAGATGGGCTTTAGGTATCCACTCTGACCCCTCTCCTTCACAGATGTAATTGTTTGTTTTTTATTTTCTGATACCTGATCCCATTGACACCTAGTGATCACACAGGCTGGTGTGCTTCTTCCATATGGGCTTTGTTGCTTCCCTGATAGACGGCCACTTGTTTAACTTCAAGCCTTCAAGACTCCAGATGCTATATCTTATGATAGCTGGGCACCATCAGCTTTCTTCACCACATTTGCTTATGTACCCATTTTTTCTTCAGCGATCATGTCAGGAAGGTGAATATCACACAGTGCCAGATTATTAAAACAAAGTGTTCTTGTGTTGAGGTAAGACTTGAATAGAGGCCCAAAGTCTGTCTGCTACCTTAATACTTTAGCATATAAATACATGTACATAGACAAATGCATCTATCGTTATATATGGATATATTTACATACGTACATGCCTATATTTATACCTCTATATATAGATTTTGCCTCCTAGTTCTTTCCTCTATTTCCTTTGACTTTCCTCCTACCCCACTATCATGTTCACCCTTCATTCAGCTCTCAGAAATTCCTCTCAGCTACATTACTATTGATCAAACCCAACCAAGCATTCTCCCCCCTCCTT